TGACCTGCAGGTACTGGTGGCGGTGGTCGACTAGACACTATAGATTGGTGGTGTGAGTACAGTGATGAGCGTTGCTGCTGTGGCTGTCTCTGATACACTTAGCAAACTTAAATATTTTTGACGGCATTCGTGAACTTGACGCCCGGTTTTCCTGATAATAACTTTATTAGTTTGAGTGAAACGCCTAACGGTTAAGTAACAGTTGTACCAAAGCTTTATTTCTGGTAGGAAGAAAATATGACACCTAGAAGATGTACAGTAGAAACACGTTATACCTCAGAGAATATAGAGAAGCCTATGTTAGAATAAAAAATTTAATTTATTTACATGTCTGAAGAAATTTTACAAACAATTATTAGATTTACGAAAGTTTTGCATTACTAGAAACGGAATAACACGAAAGCGCTTGGGAACTTCATGTTTTCTTGTTCCCTATGTGGTTATTTAGCATAATGCATACATGGATCACCCGCACCTAGAGTGATTTATTTGTATTAGGCCTTTATACTTATTGAGTATAAGAAGTTCTACAAAACGACTCTTTTTTTGTACGGGTAAAATATTGAGCCAGTGATGATACGTCTGTTAGGTCGTTAGCCTTGTGTTTATATAGTGAACGTCTTATTTATTCCTCCTCCATAATAATGAACGACGGTTTCCAAAGCCTCTTACGTCATATTGTTATTTTCTCTAGCTGAAGCACGTAACCCTGGATCTGCCTCACTGTAGCTGCCGAATAAGGAAGACGACCAATGTAGATCACTGAGTTTTACCGCGATGTGTAGGAAACCACGATTTTATTTTTATCATTATTAGTATTATCATTAGTGTTATTAATAGTATGTAGTGGTGGTAGTAGTGTTATTATTATTAGAAATAGTATTTTATTACTAAATTTGAACACCCTCCATTATCGTTGGAATATGCTTGAAAGTGCGAAAACATTCATATTATTTGGTGGTGTTCACTGCTGCTTCACTGATTATGAAATATATAATATATAGGCATAATTATGTCTCTTATGATGGTAAAGGACGTCTTAAATGATGCCAGGTGCACGTGGCAGACAGTGCGGCCCGGCTTACAACCTGTGTGTTATACCTGACGTCAGACCCGCATGACTGACGCAATAGGTTGACTCTTAAATCTTTCCAGTTCGAGTGTTGCAGTGTGCCACTCTGTGTCAGCAACTCGTGTCCTTTCATGTAAAAGCTGAAATTCCCGCCCTCCTGTCTGAAGGGATTAAGATATATGTATTGTTTCTATCAACAAAGACTAAAAATATTGCAATACAGAACTTGGTCCAATTTAAACTAATTCATGTGTAGTTAGACTCAGTTATCCTCAGACCCTCAGTGACAAGAGTTTATCAAGCAATTCATAAACAATAACAAAAGTGGATAGGCGTTAGAACCAGTAGCAAAATAGTAAAGTTGGATAGACGGCAGAAATAATAGGAATAATAGTAACACTCAATAGAGGAGTTAGAACCAATAGTAACACTGGTTAGACGTTAGAACCAATAAAAACCTAGGAACTGAGAGTGGGAATGGTTAAGACGTGTAAAGAACCAAACTTCTGGTTCTTTTCCCTTTCCCTCGATATTCACAGTGTGTCATCACCATGTATTCACGATAAATGCTTGTGTTTATGTTGCACGTTCATATTAAGTTGCATACACTTATATTAAGGTATGAGAGAGAGAGAGAGAGAGAGAGAGAGAGAGAGAGAGAGATACAGTTATGCAATGTGGATATAATATAATCTGACGCCAAACCTCCATGTGTTTGCTGAGGGATACGAAAGTAAATGAGAGAGCAAGAGAGATAGAGAGACAGGTAGAGAGAAGGAGATAGTATTGTATATGGTATAGCCTTTGGTGACTATATAACTAAGAGGAAGAGAAGAAAGAAATCGTGAAAGAGCCACAGATTGTTAGTGACCTGGAAACCATCATCAGTCATCATGGTGTGTAAACAAAGCCTACTGTGTATGGAAATAGCCCGTAAAGATAAATAACCCACGTACAAAAAGTTAACTCCTCTCTACGTATAGAATAAACAACATAAACAAAGGTTCCTCCCCACGTACGGAACTAATAATGTAAACAAAGGTTCTTCCTCACATACGGAACTAATAATGTAAACAAAGGTTCCTCCCCACGTACGGAACTAATAATGTAAACAAAGGTTCTTCCCCACTTACGGAACTAATAATGTAAACAAAGGTTCCTCCCCACGTACGGAACTAATAATGTAAACAAAGGTTCCTCCCCACGTACGGAACTAATAATGTAAACAAAGGTTCTTCCCCACGTACGGAACTAATAATGTAAACAAAGGTTCTTCCTCACGTACGGAACTAATAATTTAAACAAAGGTTCTTCCCCACGTACGGAACTAATAATGTAAACAAAGGTTCTTCCTCACGTACGGAACTGTAATGCACACATACAGTAAAAAAAACTAACCACGCAATAAGTACCGTAGTAACTCACCACACAAAATAAAAGAGCTCCTCGTGTATCTAAAAGATTTGTAACTTAACAACATAAAAGAAAGCTACTGTAACTCACCAGGTACAGAACAACAAGTCAACCACATACAGAATAAAAAAAAGACACGGAATAACCTAAGCCAACACGTATAAAAAAAAAGAAGCTTTAACCCAGCTAGCACAAAGGATATCCCGCTAGCAGAGGGAAAAAATAGTGGTGCCTCCATAAAGATGTAGGTTGACAAGGGAGTCAGCTGAGCGGTGCAGTGAGACAAGGTCGGTGAGGAGGGCAGCCACGCTCGTCCAATCTGCCAGATGTCTATATAAACCTGGACCCCCACAGACCCTCGCTGCAGGCTCACAGTAGCGGGGGCAGTTTGTGTTTTTCAGCCTCAACTACTTACATGTATTCACGCATTCATATACGCATACATATGCATATATTAAACGGATGCATTCATGAGGACCACCACACAAGCACAATAGACTACATCATGCAGCCACGCACATACACATCACCGGATATATATTTATATATATAGTATATTACACAGGCCGTCCATATTAAAATTAAATACATTTGAAACTTTATAAGTTTTTATTGAGAAATGTAAACAGAAATATTCACACAGGTCATAGTCGGTATGCTTGAGTTTCTTTGGTGTAAGGGGACATCACTCGGGCACCGTTCGTAGCAGAGACTAAGTCACAACGGTACTCGATTACCGCCCCACATATATTAACATCTCGGGGGTTACGGAGGCGCTCTTTCAGCTGAACAGTGTCCTGCACCTTTGTGGAGTACAGTTTGGACTTCACATAACCCCAAAGAAAGAATCGAACGGGGTAAGATCAGGCGATCTCAGTGGTCAGGAAGCTGTACATTGTTCTGCAGTATGAGAGCATCACTGAGGCGGTGGCTTCCGTAAGTCATAACTGTTGCCTATTTTTGTGATAATGCAGATCACCTTAGGTTTCTTGTCCAACTTTTGTTCTACAATAATACTGGTGTTTTTGCCATCAAAAATTATAGAAGTGATCACCACAGTGAATTTAATGTGCATGATAATTTAACAATGAGTAATTCATATGCAAATTAGGTCGTTTGGGTTTTTTAGGGGGGGGGGTGAGTCCTTGTCATAACCTCCAATACTTACCGGATTTCGTGAGGTTCACCATCTAATGTTACTTAATCTCTCCTCTGATAACAAGGTTACTATGACCTCTTTAGTGAAACAAGTGTCAAGTTTTGTTTTATCCCCAGTGTTGGTTCTACCTTATTACTTTTATCTGCCTGATCATATGACAACACCTGAACACGTCTCTAAAAATAACGTTTGTGTGATTTAATTTTAGAGATTAATGTTATATTTTATATATAATTATGTCTCTACTTTAAGGCAATATGTTACATTCACCAGCTTCTATGTGCATAAAATCCTTATAAGACATAATAAATACCTTGAAAAAATTAGGTCAACCAAGATCTTCTTTAAGAAAGTTAGGTGACAACTTCCTACATTAACTAGCCTTTACGGGCTTCATCAGTGACTCATACGAAGGGTAGGGCAGTGTGAGCTATTGGGTAGTGATGTAAGTCATGGTAAGTTTTAGTTTCATCTCTGGTTGTACAACTGTGAATCACACTGGTAATTGACTCATAAAAAACAGCTGATGACACGTAGTCACCTCATAAGTCCATACCGGGATCATTTTGGGTGGCAACTCTTTGAATCCCTGTTCCTGCAAAAAGAAAAAGATAAATTATGGGTAACTACAAGCAGGTTGAGGGGTTCCTCAACACCAGAGGAGTTGTAAATCCATACAAAGTCATGTGTGCACTGGAACGTCTGGTTTGGTTATGCCTTTTTTATGATAACTGTAAATAGATGTCAATGTATGACTTGAACGTCCTTCACACAAATAAGGAAAAACATTCCAGCCGCGTTTGTGTTTACAGTGTGTAACATGTAGAGCAAAGTATACCGTGTGGTGCAACACTCCAGCATTGCTGAGGCCTAAGACTGACAGTATTAAATAAAATTGTTAAAGTCAAGATTTATATAAGAATGGTTGATTAGGTTGCGAGTTCTCGTACAGCCGACTCACTTTACCTTAGGTAACAGTTTACCTGTGAGGTGCATAATGCTGCAGGCGTTGTGGAGGGGAGGGGGATGCTCCATACACAGCACACCCTATCCCTCCCCTTCCCATCGCCCCTCTCCCCTCCCGATTCGTTCTCGCTCCTCCCTATCTCCCACCTCTTCCCCATCTCTCTCCTACCCTGCCCTCCACTACCCTCCCCTCCCCTCCCCTTCTTTCCCTCCATCCCTCCTCTCTACCCTGCCTTGCCCTCCTCTCATCCCATCCCAGATGTTCTTAGACTGGGGCCCTCAGTGATATGATTTAGAGTTAGGCATACTGTATTAAGGTGAGAGCCCATTTTCCATTTCGTAATGCCCCAATGCCCCGTGCACCTGACTAACCACCGCCCGTGCCCACAGTTGCCCCCCGGGTGACGCTCAGACTCGGCTACAACCTGGAGACTCGACCCGTGACGGAGGGCGAGGATGTGTTCTTCGAGTGTAAGGTGGCCAGCAATCCCCCACCCACCACCACCAGATGGTACAAGGACGTGAGTAATACCTGAGTACACCTTAGAATACCTCTCCTCTCGGTAGTAGTAGTAGAACACCGACACAAATTAAGGCAGCTTGTCCATATGAAAAACAACAATTTAAACTAGAAAACACCACGAAGTAACTCTTGCTATCATACGTTGACCTGAGTGTTTTTATCTCTGTTTGACGCCACCTGAGGTTTTGTTAGACACACACACACACACACACACACACACACACACACACACACACACACACCGCCTCCAGCTATACTCCTGTCACATCATCACCTCCATTTCTCTCTCTCTCTCTCTCTCTCTCTCTCTCTCGTGTAGTATGTTTTACTCTCCTTGCTGCCTGTACTTGTCTTTTATCTTCCCTATTTATTATGCTCTGAATCTCCCTCGGTTATTTCTCTCCGCTGCCTGTGTTTCCATTTTTTTTATTCACTTTTTTCTGAATTCTTTCCTCATCACCTCGCCCTCTGTGTCTCTTTTATCTCGCTCTTTTATGTCTTTCTCACTTTCTTTCGCCTTATTTGCTTGTGTCTCAGCATTGTCCAATTTCCCTTGCCTCGCCCACTCCACGCCTGCCCCTCTTCTCTCGTTCCTTCCTCTGTTCCCATTTGTTACCTTTGCTCTACACGCTTTCATCAGACCTTTCCACTCTCTTCTTTCCCTCCAAACCGTTACCGTTCTCCTCTTTCTGTTCTCTATTTTACTTTTTCTTTCGTTTCCTTTTCATCCATTTGCTTCTTTTTCTTCCTTTAATTTCTTCTTTCTTCTTCTTATTCATGTATTTCCTCTTCTTCGTCTATATTTATCCACTTTCACTTCGTCTGGAGCGTCACAGCCTTCTTTTTCATTATCATCAGCCATATCATCACTTTTTTCTCCATATCATTTGTCATCATCATCATCATCATCATCCGGTTAACTCGTAAGAATGTGTCGGATCCCTTAACTGCCCCTCAACGATGCTATTATGTTCCTGGGAGCTCCTTGCAGTGTCTAGGGCTCTCTCGTGATGCCAAAGAGCTCCCCTATTTACTCTGGTTCATCTTAGGGTGACCCAGAATTCACCCAAGACACTCTGAGATTCTCTTGGCGCCCGTGAGTTCAATTTAACGCCCTGTCATCTGGTGGAATGTTGGCGGTATAGCAGTTTTTTTTTTCTTTCACAAATAAGAGTTGAAGGAAGATTAGTTAAGGAAGGAGAGAAAAGTTTGGAGGTTGAGGAATTTCAGAGAGAGAGGCAGTGGTTGATGGGCTGAGGTGAAGTTATGGTATTGGCGAACTAGTTAATATATTAAATGGGTAATGATTCTACCGTCTTACCACTATTGTTATAAGTCATTTGAGTCGTTGTTTACATTATTGTTTATTGACTTAAACGAATTAATAGTGATGAGTGGGTTTTTTCTGCCTCTTCACCCTTACTGGTTGTTGCGTCACAATACGACGTTATATGGTTGTTGATAATTTTCTGGCGGTTTACTTTCCAGGGAGACTGTCTAGAACCTCACTGGAAGGATTGGATGTGGCGATGATCTCACTGTTTGGCAGCTTGGAGGGTATTAGAACTGTTATCGTTTTCTGGCGGAAGTCCTTGGAGAAGTTCTTAACAGACTGAAAATTTGTTTTGCCTCGTTCTTTGTGTCAGGATGTATACGTGCTAATTGACTGGCTTCATCTTCAGGAATTTGTGGAGTTCAGTTGTGATTCTGCTATAGGATTTTCTTTTTCCTGCTAATTGTCTTACGACTTAGTTCTGAACAACTTGTAATTTCGTCATTTCATTGCTGTTTAGAGTATAATAGGACTGAATGAAGAAGTGACTTGTCCAGATATGGTTTGTGTTTTTTTTTTTTTTTATAGGAATTAGATCGAAATAGTTTTAGCGTGCTTGCCTCTCACCGCTGCGACCGGGTTCCGATCCCACTGGAGTTGCATGTGAGAAGAATGTTGTCGAATGTGGCCCCAACAAAGAGAACAACTGAAGATCTGGATACACTGGTGTGGAAGTCTTCATCCAGAACGTATTTAATATATCTATTTAACAACGTGATACAGGATGCCTTAAATATTCCTCCCGTGCTTCAAAGAACTCTTAGGTTCTATGATTCATATCACCACTTGCCCTGGGTAATTGAAACTCTCACAGTTCCCTTTGGTTATCCTCCCCCCCCCCCTCGTTCGTTTAGGCTGTTTTAAGTACTGTACCAGAGAACTTTTCGATTACCTTCAGTTACTTTAAATACTTCTAAGTTTTCTTAAATGTTCTTATATATCTTTAAGTTGTCTTTAATGCCTCAGGATGTCCCTGTATGTCTCTAGGTAAACTTATATGATATCTACAACATCTGACTTGTTGTTGTGTCTCCCTGGCAGGGCGTGGAGGTGGTGCACGACCTGCGGGGCGGCGTGCTGGTGTCTGGCCACAACCTGGTGTTGCAAATGGTGCGGAGAACCTCGGCGGGCAACTACACCTGCGCCGCCACTAACACCCTCGCCACCAGCAGCAGCAACACCATGACCCTCACCATCAAGTGTAAGTACTGTACCTCTACCACCATCATCACCACATCTTCACCATCATGTGTCAGTAGGGGTGAGGTCAGTGGGCGTCTGGGGGATGTGTCAGTGGGCGTCAGGGGGATGTGTCAGTGGGGTGATGTCAGTGGGGTGATGTCAGTGGGCGTCAGGGGGATGTGTCAGTGGGGTTAGGTTAGGTGGTACTAGAGTAGGGTTGTTTGATGTCAGTGGGCGTCAGGGGGATGTGTCAGTGGGGTTAGGTTAGGTGGTACTAGAGTAGGGTTGTTTTTTTGTCTGCGTCACATCGTGTTGACATTTCAAATTAATATAATTGGTGGTTGTGCTTTATTTGTGTGTGACTTTGTTCGTGTATTCCTCCGGCGTGTGTGCGTGTATGCACCTTTTTTGCTCGTGTGTGTTGGTAATTACATGTGTAAATACAGCGGTTATTGTGTGTGTGTGTGTGTGTGTGTGTGTGTGTGCTGGCGAATCCTTGCGTGTTGTGTGTTTGGTTAGGTTTGTTTTATATGTGTGTGTGTGTGTGTGTGTGTGTGTGTTTATAACTATAACACTCGTCTAAATATACCATTAGGAAATAAACGTGATCCAGTGTAATGCCAGCGGTCATATTTCCTCCTTATGTATTAAAAAAAAAAAGCCCACTTAGTTTACGGTTCGCTGTATCCGTACTGCCCATGGCACCCAATTTCAATTTCATTATCTCTACCAATTTCTGTCTGTCTCTTTGTATATATTTCAAAAAATATTTTAGTTGACCTGATTAACTGAAACCTTTGGACTAAAAATATAAAGCTGAGAAAAATTACAAACATGATTTGAATTTTCTTCGTTGTAGTCCGAAATATTAAGAAAAAAATTTGAAAGAATATCCAGTAGATTTTGATTAGTGAAGTGGTGTTCTAGGAGACACCATTAACCTCTCATGATGTTGTAGGAGACACCATTAACCTCTCATGATGTTGTAGGAGACACCATTAACCTCTCATGATGTTGTAGGAGAGACGCCATTAACCGCTCAAGATGTTGTAGGAGACACCATTAACCTCTCATGATGTTGTAGGAGACACCATTAACCGCCCATGATGTTGTAGGAGAGACGCCATTAACCGCATATTCTTGGAGATGAGAGAAAAGTCTCCAAAGACCACAAAACTCAAGTTGTGAATTGAAACCCAGTTAGGAACCATCTGTGGGTCAAGGCGTTCCCAAATATGTAGAGAGTGATACGTGGACACACACACACACACACACACACACACACACTTACAAATATGTATGAAATGTTTATCTCTGTGAGTGAGTTTGTGTGTTAGTGTTATGCATGTATCAGCCAGATCTGTACATAATATTCTTGCAGCTCATTTACGTATGTTCATTATATCAACTTCCGTCGAGTATTACCTTTTAACATCACAACCCAGAAGCTGTTGCAGTATAAAGTTGTCATCTGCAGCTGGATTGTGTAGGAAATAGACAGCTGGTGCAAGATGTAGACAGCTGGTAGATGGTGTAAGCAGGTGAACGATGGTGTAGACAGCTGGTAGATGGTGTAAGCAGGTGAACGATGGTGTAGACAGCTGGTAGATGGTGTAAGCAGGTGAACGATGGTGTAGACAGCTGGTAGATGGTGTAAGCAGGTGAACGATGGTGTAGACAGCTGGTAGATGGTGTAAGCAGGTGAACGATGGTGTAAGCAGGTGAACGATGGTGTTGTAGACAGCTGGTAGAGATTGTCAACAGCTGCTGGATGGTGTAAGCAGGTGGTAGATGGTGTTGTTTTTACCTCGCCCCTGGACGGTTTGTGGTATTGGAATGACCTCGTCTTTCTCTCTTTGTCTTTCTGTCTCTGTCTCCTCACCTGCCGTTTCCTGTCTGTCTGTCTTGTTTGTCTGTTACTGTGCAATCATCAATAATGTAATGTTGAATATTTTAACCGCATTAGCACTAAATCTGGGCAAATATCATGGATGACCTACAGTATGGACTTAAAAATTAATTTCTTTAATCAAAAGCAAATTCAAAAGTACAAGCACTGTCGATCATAGATTATGTTCATGGAACATATAAAACTATAAAAGGAATTGCAGGAAACAGGACACGAGAAGATGAAAGAGAGACATTGAACAGATTAAAGAGAAGCTCAGTTATGTCAGCCGGGCTAGGAGGGGAGGTGGTGAGGACACGCGGAGACCGTCTCACAGTAGGTGCACGAGGCTTTCCTAGATCAAGAGTAGTACTAGTCTCGTCTGACGATGTACTGTTCCCCTAATGAAATGGTCATTAACGTGAGTGCCTCAAGTTAGAGTCGAGTGAAAAAGTTCAACCATGCATACCTGTGTGAATCAAGCTTCCTGTGAGTGTTTCTCCGTGGTGTTGAGGCGCCGTCCTTGCCAACAGCCTATGACCCCATCTATCATGACCTATAGGGCAAAGACCTTCCACTCCATTTGTTGCATGTGACGTTCATATCCTGTTGTCACTGATTGGTTCTGAACTTCTCTGCACTTTCCTGGTCAAATGAATCTTGACTAAAAGATCTAAGAACTCGGAAGAGAATCACTTTTTCAGTGGAGGAGGTGTTGAGACTTCAAAGTTCATCTATTGAATAACTAATTATGATACAACTTAATTATTCATCTGGAGTTTGTTGGAGTGAACCAGCCGACAGTAGTGTGACCTTTACTAGGTCCTCACTGTCCCCTCTTCTGCTACCCTCTTTTATTCCCCGTTTCCTTCCCACCTCCCTCCCTCCTAGCCACCCTTTATCCTTCTCTCACCCACTCCCCTCTCAGCCATCCCTCCTCCCAGTACCGTCCCACTAAAGGTAATTGCCTTGTTTCACAGCACAGTAGCCAGCGCCACGAACCTGGATCTCACGGCACGGGCATAATTTTTATCTCCAGTATTAGCAGTGACCAGTACTATGTCACGGCCCAGGTGTGGTTTTTGTCCCCAGGATTAATAGTCTCTCGATTATAGATATCCAATCCAGCAAGTTTAGAAACAAATTAAAAAATATATATATACGAGAAACTTTTAAAGTTGTAGAGTAAAACCTTTTCTTCTTTTTCGTCAGAGTATAAAGGTCTCTGGCCTGACGTGTACATTTGATCTATTGGAATTCTTACATGTCGATTTGTGATTCGTGCTGGCTACAAGATATTTAGGTTAGGTTAGGCTAGGCTAGGCTAGGCTAGGCTAGGCTAGGCTTTGTGGTCGTTTTTTGGTCTTTGAGCTTAACATTTAAACTAGCAAAATTCCCCAGCTTCTCTCGGGTTAGGTATATATACAGTTAACCTTGACAGTCACAGTTCACCCTCCCTGACAAGGGTAACTATCTCTTGCAATCATTGTAGTGATATCTCAGTCAGGGAAGATTTTTGGTTCTTGCTTAGACCGCCCGGGGGTCCGTGGTCAATAGTAATACCAAGGCGCACAGCCTGGGACCCATGTTAAATGTGTATAAGGTTTCAGGACTCTAATTGCTCCCGTTTTGAAGGAATGGCTGGGACAGACAGACACATTCACTCACAGACAGAACGTCCTTTTATTATTAGAGAAGATTACTGGATGTTTGAGAGGTGGGCGGTCGTGACAGGTAAAGGTGGGTGATATTATGACGCAGGTGGAGGGTCGATCGCTTCGGTGAATAAAATATGTCTTTGAAGTTGAGGTGCCAGGCCAATATAATCACATACACTTCCATGGGTGAACTGGCTAAGCACATACTAATGAAACTGGCTCTTGTTTGGTGGGAAATACCCTGTATGTCTAAGCTTTGTGGGTAAACTGGCTTTTGTTATCGAGAAAATCATGTTTTTCTTTATAAAAAAATCCTTTGTTTCATGAACAGAGAGACTATGCCATAAGGAGCTGCCATTGTCTCATGGATAAATTAACTTTGTTTCATTTGAAACTTGTTTTCGTGTCATAATTAAACTTATTTGGTCCAGTCAGAACTTTTTTTTTTTTAAAAAGTGTGTGTCCATGTGCATGTGTGTGTGATACCTTTTATAAATAAAAAAGGGAAACTTCTGACTGGACAGTAGTAGGCAGCTATCAAACAGGGAGGTACTACCGTCTGGGAAGATATTGGAAACATCATGTATTGTCTAATGGTAGACCCTGCTGCCATATGGCATCACGAAAATTGTGACCAAGTCCCAGGTTGCTGATCTATCATTCTGCCTCATTTACAAACAATTGCAGGGTCTCAATTGTTTCTCTTACTTTGACAACACAACATATAAATATTGCTTCTCTTTTTTGTGGTTATTATTATTATTATTATATTTTAGCCCCAAGTCCTGATGTGGGTCAGTGACTTGTGCCTGTGTGGGTTAATGCCAGTAAATGAAGAGCTTCATACATAACCTAACGTAACCTACTTTAGATATTTGGCTCTCCTTGTGATAGTAAACCACGTCTTAAATAAAACAGTAAATGAGGGATCAGCTGAGCCACACCCCTCTATTTCTCCATGAATTTCCTTTGCTGTGGAATCTTCTGTCAAAGGAATTATATGGCTCAACTATCCTTACTTTGTTACCAAAAGATAATATAATTTTGTCAGACGTGATGTTTCTAACCCTCACTCTGAAACATTAATTATATCCCATTAGTCAATTGATCCAAACATTCCAGTTTTTAATACCCCAAAATCACAAACCTGCCTTAGCCTGAAGTACATAAGATAAAGGTTGTTGTGATACACTGCAAAATTGTCATCGTCTGTTGTTGTTTTTTCTTGTTTTAACCTTTAGTGTCTTTCTCGGTTTGTTCAGATCATATCCTTTGTTGTCTGATGGCCTCAATTCTTATATTATAGCTCCTTTATCACCTCCGTCAGTCTTGATTAGTCACTGTTCATATTCCCTGTGTGGTGAGGGTGACGTCTTCAGCTGCCCCAGAGAGATAGAGAGAATAATAAAACATGACCTATGTTAGGGATTGGTCCAAACACTCCTCCAGTTGACAGTACAACATGTAACTAGC